AAGGCCAGCTCGCGGTATTTCATTATTTTTTCCCATAATTTTGAACCTGGGAGGAACTGGATTGGGCAGCCCGAGAGCTCCACCTGACGCCCGAAGGGCTTTGCAGGAAGAAACGCGGCTTGAGGCGCAAGGACGGTCCTGGCTGTGCGGCGCAGGCCCGGTAAAAGCCTCCTGTTTGGTTCCCTCCTCCTCCTCCTTCCACAGCCTGTGCGATGCTGCAGCCATAGGCCGAGAGCTGCCGCCGACGCTGCTGCAGACCTGAGGGAGGGAGAGCGAAAGCAGAGGCAGGGCGCCAAGCTTTGGTTAAGGCAGGCAAGGGAAACCACGAGCCGAAAGGAAATCTTGCTGGGAAGATGCGGCAGCAGGACTTTAAAGGTCTTCCCCCTCCCAGCCAGCCAGCCCACCCAGCCCATTTCTCCCCCCGCCACCACTGTGTCCAACAGGCCAAGTTGCTGGGAGGAGAAAGTTTGGGCTGCAGAGCATAGTTTGAACTGCCGAGTGACGTGCGGTGAGCTTCATGGCCGGTGAGGGTCCCGCTCTATGACGGACGCGGCGCCGGGGCTTCGGCGGGGCTTTCGCGCTTGCCTCACCGGCCATGAAGCTCACCGCACGTCACTGATTCTAACCACTGCGCAACTGCGCTCTAGGTAGGCGCAGTGATTAGAATGAGTAGGCCCCATGTGGAGGGAATTACAATAAACTAAAGAGTGGATGAACAGGGTGTGAATGACTGAGTGAAGAGCCTCCCTGTCCAGGAAAGGGCATAGCTAGTGCACTATGTGAAGTTCAGCAAATCTTCTGTGATCTGGACCCCTTGCCCTGTACCAACAACAATGGTGACCAGACTTGGAGGAAGGAGATGAATCAACCCAATACTCTGCCACCCACCCAACTCATACATCAGTCCAAAATGGTTGATTATATCAAAAGCCACTGAGATGTCAAGATCAAGAAAAGATGCGGTACCTCCATCTTGTTTATGCCAGATCATCTAAGAGTGTGACCAACGTTGTTTCCATTCTGTATCCTGGTCTGAATCTTGACTGAATACGATCCAGATAATCTGTTTCATCCAGGGCCCTCCATAGTTGCAGCGTCATTATCTTCTCCACCTCCTTCCCTTTATAGGGGTACTTGAATGACAAGTATTCAGAATGGTGAGGTCCAAGATGGCTTATTGAGGAAGGAACAAGCTAACCAGCACTCCTGTGAAACAGCTGGGAATGCCCCCTACCTCAACGTTGAATTGATCATCTTAATAAGTAGAGATGTTAGTACTTTATAGACTGTCTTAGATTACCATTGAATGTATATTTGTTAACATACAATTTACTATGATACTAATAGTGAAATGATAAGCTTAGTTAGGATAAATAACCGGGCCATAGAAATGTTAATGTATACTTTTGGTGATCGATAAGTAGAAATATTAACATCCCTTAGATTGTCTTAGATGCTTAATGTTTATTTTCTTAGCACGTAATTAACTAATTTGGGATTGAGGGAAAAGACCTATAAATCTTATTAATAAACTATTGCCTACAGATGGCTATAAAGGTATAATATTGTGTGGGCCTGTGGAGAGGAGAGGTGAGATAAACAGTAAAAAAAAT